CAATTATTCAAATCTAATTTTAAACCATTACTAAGAAATAAGGAATAAACTCCAATCTTGGTGATAGGCAACTTTTTCCTATTCCCCATGATCAAGTTCATCTTCCCGTGCTCTACATCCCTACTTTCTTTAGACCCTGCAAATCAGATCAAATGTGAAAACCACATCCTGTATCAAGGACCCAATAATTAGCATCTGATGAGTTATTAGACAGAATAGTGTAAATACCTCCAAAGGTGGGCTTCATCTTCTCATCCTTTATGTCCTGCAAGTATTTGGGGCAGCTTTGCTTCCAGTGCCCTATTTCATGACAATGGAAGCACTCTGCTTCCTTTGGATTTGAGGAGGGTACATCAGAACCAACTTCGGTCCCACTAGAAGAGGATCCATCCCAGGGCTTTCCCTTAGGGCTCTTGGAAGAAGCCTTCCTCTTCTTACCCTTCCGATATCCAATTGCCAAGACAGGGGTAGTTGCACTAGGAGTAGGCACAACAGATTTTCCTTTAAGACTACTCCCACCAGTCCTTAAAAGGCCTTGAAGTTTTCTTAGAGTGACCTCCTCATTATTCATATGATAGGTCATACGAAATTGATCATAACAAGGAGGTAAAGATTGTAGAATGATATTTATGGCCAAGTCTTCATCGAAGTTGACATTCAACTTTAGAAAACGGTCCACAAACCTTTGCATCTTTTGGAAGTGGGTCGTGATGGACTCTCCATCCTTTATTTTAGTAGTAATCATGGAGGCTATAATTCCATACCTTTCCTGCCTTGCACTTTGATGGTACCTTTCCATCAAATCCTGATGCATTTAATAAAGCCATAAGTCCTCATAGGACTTCTGAAGTTCAACATTCATGGTAGCAATCATAATACACGACACTTTGGTCGCATCCCTCTCATAGGCCTTGTATTCAACAATTTGTTCGGGGGTAATGGTGGATTCATCAATTTCCTTCAGCTCCTTATCTAGGACATATTCTTTGTCCTCATAGCGCATGGCCATTCTGACGTTTCGAATCCAATCATTAAAATTCGAACCATCAAAAATGACCCTCCCACATAAGTTCATGATGGAGAAGGAGCCTGAAGGGATTGAGTTAGAACATTGTTTGAAGTAGACATCTGAAAAGAAAAAGGACAAAGTTTAGATTAAATGAGGATCCTTAATGTAACATCCAAAATGAAATATTAAGGATAGGACCCAAGTCAACATTTTACAATTCGGAGAGGGATGTCATAATCCAATTGTAAATATTTAAAGGTAGGTAAATGACAATTTTCCAATTTATACCATGAAAAACAAAAAAAAAATTAGGTTTTAAATGGATTGAAATTCCTAGATTCTTTTGAGATTCATTGAAAATTTCAATGGCATGTTTAAATCCCTATTACGCCCTTCAAGTTTGTGATTGGGATACCGATGATCACAAACAAGGTGCGAATAACCATGCAAATTAGCACTTAATCTTACAAATCATCCAATCAATGTGGCGGTAAACCACACATGCTCCAGCGATCCATGATTAACATCTAGCTACCCTTTTCAACACATTGTCAGTCCCATATTAGTGTGTCGGTTAACCACATACGCTCCACTAACGAGTTAACAAGGTGCAAAGTGCAATTTCATGGGATAGCACCAATTTCACATTTTTCCTAAATTAACTAAGATTGGGAATTTATAAAAGTTTAGTTACTTTAATAATTTTTCAATATACTTATTAATGAGAATTAGTGTCCTATCCTACCCGTTCGACTAGCGGCCCTCCACCAGTCAAGGAAGCGGTGGGTGAGAGTCGACACCCATTAAACCACCACTTTATAGGTAGTAACCTTGTACCCTCTATAGACCGACTTCGTGAATGAGACCTACTAACGGTAAGACTGACTTGTCTAATATATATATATATATATATATATATATATATATATATATATATATGTATGTATTAAACTTCAATATTATAATAGTATAAGGGTTGAATTTTAAACTTTTAAAATTCTAGGGTTTGGAATTAAAGTTTCATTAATGTAGGTTTTCGAGTTCCAAAACTTGAGGGCAAGTTTTGTAACTTGTCAAAACTTTTGAAATTCATAACTTATGGATTTTAAAGTTGCACAAAGGAGACCTTTCCAATTCATAACTTGAGTATAAGTTATGAACTATACATGACCTTTGGTGTTTCATAACTTATGAAAATTAATGTTTCATGAATGATGTGACTTTTCACATTGCATAACTTGAGGACAAGTTATGGAACTCTTCAAGAAACACTTATAGATCAAATTAACTAATCCAATTATCGTATGATGATTATTTACCAATTTGACCTAATTTGTTCATATTACATGATAGCTTCAAATTATACAAATAACTAGTATGACACAAAAATCAAGTAGTTATCTTAGAATTTGACAAACATCATGTTATTGGATGGAGATTAACATTACCATATCATTAAAAATGAATTTTATGAATCCAAACAGTTTGTGGTAATGTTCCTAATCCAAAACAGGCCAAAAACTCGAAGATTTTGCCCACTAACGAACCAACTCGTCGAGTGCACTTATATATTCGACGAGTTCATCATCATAAGGCACCTACTCGTCCAGTTTGTTCATGGACTCGTTGAGTAGTGATGTGTGTAAACTCACTTAGTTTTAAACCTACTTTTTAATTAGAAAATGAACACACAAAGGCAGTGGACCTATCAATTGTGGTATAGCAAAATAAGTAGGTTATCGAACACAGGGAATGGAAAATTAAAACTAAAGACTAATTTTATCTAAATTAATTAATAAGTAGGAGTTTTCTCTAGTTTTACAAGACTAGAAACTTATTAACTAATACTTAATCTAAAACTTAGAAAAACAAAGAATTAACTAGATTCAATAATGGGAAGGAACTTCTGTTTAGTTCAACTCAATTGATCCTATGGTTGATTTCAAGGTAATGGTGCAATGGATTAACTCTTTTGTTTGTTATCGATTCAAGTGATTAGATTCGCGTTCACTACACTAATCCTTAGCAAATAAACTAACTTAAACACTGGCCAGTTGTCTAATTTAATTAAATTCACTAGATTAATTATTCGGGTTAATTTAGACTTGCAATAGTTAACTAATTTGGTCCTTTAATTAACTTCTTGTTGATGGTCATCACACAAGCTCACACATGAATTTACTCAATTTTCTTATTAATTCTAGTTTCATGTTCATTAATCCTAGACATATGACAAAGTGGTCACATAGCATATGAGGTTGATAATCAAAAGATGTTCATGCTATTTAATTACCTTCCTATTAACAGAAAATTCATTATCATTCACACACAAGGTTCTTTAGCAAGCTAAAATAACAATAATCATCAACTTTAAATTAATCCTACCAATAATCAAACCATAGTATCAATTTTGTATCCCCAAACAGAAGTTTAAGAGTTTTTGCTCATGATTGAAGTAAATAACAGCAAGCAAACAGATTCTAATTGTTTAACCATAATGAAAAACAAAAGATTAAGTAGAATGATGAAATTTGCCTCAAATCTCCTTCAGAATTGGATTCTAGCTTGTATCTTCGTCCTCTCGGGTTTTTCTGACTTTTTAATCGCAGCTAACCTCTCCATAATGGAATTAGAATTCTCCTTTATTGATCTGAGAAGTTATCTTTATATATGCGAAACGACTCGTCGAGTCAGGTGTTAACTCGTCGAGTCCATCTCTCAATCCCCGTATTTGATAAGTCTCTGGGTTTCCGAGTCTTTATCTTCTCGAATATTCACTTGGACTCGCCGAGTAGTCGACCCTACTCGCCGAGTAGGTGCTATTTTTGGTATTTTTCTTCTTTGTTCCATTCTCGAGCTCTCAACCGCTTCTCCTGCTTCCTTTTGCTTCCGAGCTTCACTTTTGGACTGAAAACATAATTCAAACACTTTTAAGTACCTTTTGTCCACGAAATGCAATAATTTATCTAATAAATGAATAAAAATCTACACTTAATATGAACTAAATATGCACATATCAAGTAGGCCCTGGAAGAATCCAGTTTTGCAGTTTTTTCAGCTTTAAATTTACACGGTTGTATCAATACAATAGAAAACACTCATGGCTCTGTTACCACTATAGGGTTTTATGTACTCTAACATTCCTATGGTGCACATACAACCCTAATGCTTTGGCTCTTAGTTTTATCTAATTATGCATGCAACATTGGTTCCAAATCATAAAGCCAAAACTAGCATACAAAATTTGACAAATGAATCATAAAAAAATGTCGTAGACTTAATTACCTCTTGATGTTGTTATTGTTGTTAGTAAGACTTTGGCCTTGTGAGAACTTGGCACCCCAAGTGTTGTGCCTCAAACAAGTGACAAACACCAAGTAACAATTAGATGGATATGAGAAAGGCTATGGAGACTAGAAAATCGATTTCTTCTTGGAATGCAAGTACTGGTCAATTTTCTTCTTAGCACAACATATATATATATATATATATATATATATATATATATAAGTGTGTTTGTGTGTGTGTAACCCTAATCCATACACATTAGCCCATGACTCATCCATTTGATTTGGATAAATGGTCCATAGATTAATCCATAAGCCCATCACAAACCAAACCATGGATCATTAGCCCAACTCATATGTTTCAATTTAATTAGTGTCTTTTGATCACTAAATTAGGTCTTAATTAATTATTGATAAATACTAATTAAATAATATGATTCCAAATAATATATTATATTTATAATATATTAATGAATTAGAACTAACCTCTTACTCAATATCCATCTATCAATTTGTTATGGTGAAGGCAACCCGAAATGGACCGTGCTACTATCGGGTCAAGTACATACCAATTATAATTATGGGCTTAGACACCTAATTCAACATTATCGGTATTTATTTAATACTCTTGTATTCTTTATTTCTCTCTTCTTTGTAGGATTTATGTTTGACTTTTATATCAAGGATATAGCTTATATGTTAGAGCTTTGTTCATGTTTTGTGATATTTAAAGAGTTAACATCTGATAATCCATAGAGAGCAATTATTATCTAAGTATCTCAATATTCGAATAATGTGACCTATAGAAATCTTGTTCCTTGTTTATGTATTTTAAGCAACTTTGCTTGATTAATCTATATATTGATATTCCAAAGATTCATAGTTTATGCATGTTTGGTAATTTTATGGATTTCATCTTAGCCTTACCCAAACTAGTTTTCTAAAAGATGTCATGTCTTTAGTTTGTTACTTCTTACAAATTGCATCATTATGCCTAATTCAGGTCTTCTTTGATTCCATGCTTTATGACACTTAAAACTATGATTCCCACATGAAGGTACATATATCTTTCTCCTAATGAAAATAAATTTAGTTTTTCTGAATCATACATTGTAATTAATTGATGACATCCTCTCTTAGCCTAATCATGGATCCTAGAACTGACATATACGAACCATCATATGGAACAATATTTGGTTGTCACAATGTAAACATTAATCTAAAATACATGCTTAAAAGTATGTTTCGTGCTTCAGCGATCAGGCCATTTAAACAAGGAAGATATCAAGAAGATAATCATAAGGTTGGTAACTTGATATCATGTTCATTTTCCAATATTATCCTTCCATGTTTTTTTGTTTTTTTTGTTTTTTTTGTTTTTTTTTTTTTTTTTGTTTTTTTTTTTTTTTTTTTTGTGTTCAAAAGACGTAGCCATCCTGCTCTAACATCTATTAATGTGATGAAAAGAACCCCATATATCATTTTCCAGATACTTATATATGTTGGTTCTTCAAGATCATAGTAATTATAAAGTTTAGTTTTTAATTTGAATAGTAATTTCTTTAAGCACTTTAAAGTGTCAATTCTTTTATTCTTGCAGATGGGACTTCTGTTTTCAGAAGGGTGATGATTTAAAACATTTATAGTGATTGGTTTCCTTGGTATGAAATATGAATCACTCATAATAATGTTTATGGTCATATAAAACCATTATTATATATGTGTAGGTGTACACAGGGACACTTCCAAATGGGCAATTGGTTGCTGTTAAAAGAGCTCAACTAAGGTCAACACAAGGTGGACTTGAGTTCAAAACTAACATTGAGCTTCTTTCAAGAGTTCATCACAAGAATGTTGACGGGCTTGTTGGTTTCTGTTTTGATGAAGGTGAACAGATGCTTGTATATGAGTTTATTGTCAATGGTATACTCAAGGATAGCCTTTCAGGTACTCATATGTATATATATATATATATATATATATATATATATATATATATATGTATATCATACATAATTTCATATCTAAATGTACAACGGTATATATAGATGTATCTTTCATTGTAGAATGTCTTAATACGAAAAGAAATTCTATGTAGAAAAGAATGAAAGTAGGATGCTAAAAAGTAGTTAAATTATTTTGTGAACACAGGGAGATCTAGGTTCAGGTTGGTTGGATTGCATGACTAATCAGAAAAGCAATCAACTTTCAGAGAACATTAAGGTTAGTTTTGTAATTTCCTTCCTAATTAAAAATATTGCATCCTTTTTATAAATGTTAAATATTCTTTTAATTTTTGTGTCGTAGATGGTCCGTAATATTCGACACAAATTTTCAAGAATCAAATCCCATAAGAGAATACAATTTATGAAGACCAATCTGCAAACACGGTATTATAATTTACTTTTTGGTTGGAATCATAATTCAGTTCCTTTTCAGTCCCGCATTTCGTTTCAACATAAAAGTTTTGCTTCCAACAAAGACCCTAATCTAAAAAAAAAAAAAAAAAAAAAAAAAAAGACATCAAGCAACCAAGTCTCCTCCCATTCAAGGAAAAATTAAGTGGCATCTGGTTCGCCTAATTCAAGGGGACTAAACGGGAATTGAAATCCAGTTCCATTCCGATCCTTCTTTCGGATGCAAGATATCAAGCAATGGAAAAGATCTATGCGGAAATGCAAAATATGAGATTAAATTGAGAATTGTGGTAGATTATACTTAGAAATCAAATATTAATCAATGTTAAACTTTGATAGATGTTTTTCGTATTTTAATGTTAGTGTTTGGATTGTATAATTATTTGATGTTTTTGGTATTTAAATGTTAATGTTTGGATTGGGATTGGATAATTATTTGATGTTTTTGGTAATTGTGTTTGATATTCATAAAAAAAAAAAAAAAAAGATATGATATTATATATTTTGCGAGGGATTAGCTATGGAAAGAAAAAAAATTGCATTTTAAAATTGTGTGGTATTAGCGACGGAAATAAAAAAAGGTAGAGTTTTGCGAGGGATTAGGGACGACATATTGTATTAAATTTTGTCGCTAATATCTTAAATAACCATATCAAGTGACCAATTTGCGATGGATATTCTTTCATTATGGTCATCGCGAGAAAAATCTGATCTGTTGCTAAAACCCTCGTTATGTCATTAGCCACACTTTAATTGGCTATGGAGTAACTTTGTAGTTGATCCGTCCCAAACCTTCTTTAGCGACGGAATAGCGACGGATTCGTCCGTCTCTAAAACCCATGTTTCTAGTAGTGTTTGAATATAATAAATAATGGTATTTATGATGAAATCAAATTATTAACGCCCGTTGCACGAGAATTACTGATAACTTCGCTCATTAAGGTTATCTGTGAAACCATACACCACATGTATGCTCAGCGGAGGACCATGGATGTAAACAAATATATATACCTATATAATTGTTACCTAAAATAAATAACTACTTTTCTTTAGCGTTAAAGTAAAACAATGAAAATATTATTATGTAGGAGCCATGTTGGTTGCACTAAACACTTATGAAAAAATGATGCTTCATAAGAGAATGAACAGATCCTTAACATTGGAAGAAACACACATTTGCAGCAATATTTTTGGTGTACAAGATTCTATAAGGAGTATTGTTATAGATATCAGCCACATTAGTTGTACATGATGGAAATAGTGAAAAAGTGGTATACCTTGAGGGCATGCCATTGCGGCATCCGTTATTGAGCGGTTCAAGTATAAGATCTCTTCTTGGAAAACTAAGACTTTATCAATTGGGGGTAGATTAACATTGGTGAGGGCGGTTTTGGGAAACATTGATAATTATTTCAAGTCTGTTTTCCCAACTCCCTTAATGTTTCTAATGAGGTTGGAGTCTTTGCGTTCGTCTTTCTTTTGGGGTAAAGATTTCAGAGATAGAAAGGTGCATAGGGTTCGATGGGAGGATAAAGCTTTGTCAAGAAAATATGGTGGTTTGGGTATTAGTAATCTCTGTGCTCTTATTTTCACTGTTCAGAAGCTATTTGGGTGAAGGTTGTCGATTCCATTCATGTAGCCCATCTTGATAATTCGTCGAAATGTGGTTATTACTCTGTTGACGTGGTTATGGGATTTAAAGGTGGTAGACCAATTGATGGATAAAGGGTTTGATATGTTGCTTTTTTTTTCCTATTCAGATCGAAGATGGGAAAACACTTGGTTTTGGCATGATGTATAATCAGGCGACACTTCTTTAGCCATTACTTTTCACCATATATATGCTTTGGATATTTACAAAGATGCTAGAGTCACAGATAGAGTGGATGTGGATGCTTTTCTTTCTTTTCTACTTAGGTTACCGAGAGGTGGGATGGTGGAGACACAATGGAATGAGCTCATGTCTATTCTCAGGTCTGTAACTACTACTTCTTCTCTAGATTTTCTTGGTTGGTCGCATGATCCTACGGATCTGTACACCGTCTCTTCGGCTCACTCTTTCATTGATGCAAGTTCTTTGATTATTGGAAATGTCAATGCGGTGTGGAAGACTTGGGTTCCCATCAGACTTAATATATTGTTATGGTGGCTCAGATTAGGAAGAATCCTGACTAGAGAGAGATTATCCGCTAGAGGCAGTGGCGTAGCCACATTAGTACAAGGGTGGGTATTGGCCCACCCAAATAAATTTGAGGTTATATATATATATATATATATATATATATATATATATATATATATATATATATATATATATATATATATATATATATATATATATATATATATAATTTTATTAACTACCAAAGACCAGAGGAAGTGAATTTCCATATAGCCTACCCATTAAAAATTTCAAATTATACACAAATAGAATACTTTTTGCTGCATATATTGTTACATTTTGTTATCATTTGAAGTATTTTACTACCGTTCATATTTTGTAAATTATTTGGCCCATCCTAAAACAAAATCCTGGCTACGCCACTAGCTAAAGGTATAGAGATTGATTCTATTTTGTGACAGATTCGTCAGTCTCAAGTGGAATCGATATTACATATATTTCTTGTTTGCCCGTCTTTAAAAGATATCCGGTTGCGTATTGCTAATTGGTGGGATGTGGACCTTCCAAATGTGCTTTCGATAATGGCTTACATTTCTTAGGAAAATTCTATTGTGTGTTGACTTCAGTTTGAAAGGCATTTGATGCGGTTGTTATTATAACTTTTTGGTGCTTATGAAGATTTAGAAATAATCTCCTTTTTTTGAAGGGTTATCCCAAAGCTTTTTGAGATTTTTTTATGATATTGTTAGTACTAGTATCTTTTGGATTTCGAATAGGTACTAGAAAGCTAACATTTATTTGGTTGGTTGGCTTTATGATCCCAAGTTAACTTTTATTTCTTTATAATGTTTTCCTAGCTTCTTACTAGTTTTAATAAAATTTTGCCGTTCTAAACAAAAAACAAGAGAAAGAGAGAGAGACTCTGTTGGCATGAAATTTGTGAAATATGTTATTTAAGTTTTACCGGTTTAAAAATCCAAACATTCCTATTTATTTTCCTGAGTTTTATTAATACATTTGTTAAAATGTTACCTAGCTTTGCCGTCGTGAAATAATATGACAATTTTTTTTTTGTCAAATATGTTATTTAAGTTTTGCAAACACAAAAGGACGCATTAGTTTTTGATGAATTTTAAAAGATATATCTTGACATAAAGGAAATAAGTGGTTGGCTTTATACTTTACCATTTTACGTTATCTTTAAATTGGTGAGATTTGTATTTCTTATTGCTGCTTATAGTTGTAAACTATTTCAAACCCTTGCTAGTTTAAAATAGTTTGCCAATAGTTAGACATGTAAAAATGTTTGATTGCATAGGGACCGATTACTATCTTTGCTGCGGCATGCTTTTTTGACGTTGAACAGTTACCTAAAAACCTTATTTTCCTTTTCCTAATAGAAAGTAGGTTCATTTGTGACGCGTGATATTAACTCTTAGTCTCGACTTATAACATTATATTTGAAAATGAATTCATTAAAGAGTATACGAAGAAAACTTTTCCAATCTTCTGATTTACCTTCACATTCATAAAAGAAAAAACATAGGAACATTTAGAAACATCAAGAAAGATGTTCAAGACTTTTTTTCAAATTTATTTTGGAGCTTTAACATGTAAAGTAAGATTATTTTGAAAAATATCTATCATTTTTATAAGTTATAATTTCAATAGTACTGATACCATTGATTTTTGCAAAACATTTAAGATTCATATCTACTTTCCATTCACCAAATGCTATTCATAGATTTTGACAATATATATATATATATATATATATATATATATATATATATATATATATATATATATATATATATATATATATATATATATATATATATCATTTTGTTAGCTTATAATTTCAATATTATAGATACCATTTATTTTTACAAAACATCTAAGATGCATATCTTTCTAGTTTCCATTCACCCAATGCTATTCACATATTGTATCCCATTGAGAACCGACTAATAGGGTTGTAAGTGAGTTGAACTATTTGTTAGCTACTCGAAATCGACTCGTTAAAAACTCGACGCTCGAGTTAAAAGAGTCTGAGCCGAGATCAAACTCAATATAAGGCTCATTTATTAACTTGCTCGAGCCCGAGCTCTATTGCCCAGTTCGATTAGGCTCGCGAACCTAAATAAGTTTATATATATTATTAGGGATGAACATATCAGCATATGACCCGTTGGACCGGACCAGACCGGAAATACATATAATTGGGCCAGCTTTCGGTTTTAATGTTTTATATAAATCTATTTTTGGTTTTGGATCGTACCGTACCCAAAATATGCGTTCTTATTCCGACCAGACCGAAAACAAAAAGTTTTGTTTATGCATCTAATCCCTACAATTTGATTATTGTGTTAAACGTCTAGCATATTTATCTTAAAAACATTTGTTTATATTTGGTCATTGTACAATTTGATCCCTTTGTTTTTTTATGAATTAAATAAGCTATTTTTATAAGGTATTCTTATTGTTTGTCGTATTTTGTAGTAGTTGTTATATATATATATATATATATATATATATATATATATATATAATATATATATATATATATATATATATATATATATATATTAAGACGTACAAATGATGAAGCTGATAGTACAAGTAACAATTAATAAAATAATATTAAATTTTAACCACGTTTTGAATTCAAATATTTCTCATCAAATCTCCTTATATTTCTCAGCAATTTGATATGGTTCCCTCAAATCTTGGATTCATTCAAATTTTGAACCCTTTTAGATATCCTTAAATTTAACATGTTGATTCAAATATCTCTCCCATCGCATATACCTCTTTGTTCCCTTCCCTGCTATAAAGCTCACCGTCCATGAACAGAAAATGACTTCATCTCCCGTCTTCCACTATCCCCAACCACCGGTTCTATGACACCGCTTTCTGACGTATTTCCTTCCAAAAATGACTTCACCACAAGAACCCTAAATTACTTTTGGAAGCTCTCCCTCTTCTCATTCTCTATCTTTTTTCTCTCAACTGGCATTTAGAGTTTTGATTTGTCACATGTGACACCGTCCACCGCAGCCATGACATTTTTTGATCGTTTTTACACCGTCGCTTCCAGTCAAACCCAACCATTCCTAAATTTAGGCGTGATCGATACATACTTTTGTTGTTTTCATGGTTATGCCTTCAACCACCCAGCACCATGGTTTCCAACATATTCAAGTATTTTTCTAGAGTATACATTTATGTACAATCTTTATTGCAATTTTGAAATATTTTAAATAGATACTTAGTTTTTGACCGACTTCGATTTTCTAAACATCGAGGTTCAATTTTGTGGAAAGATCTATGTTTGATCTTTTTCATTTTCATGTTTATTGTATCATTTTCCGAATTAAGGATGTTATTACGAAGCTCAAAATCTAGAAGAAAAAATGAGCAATGGGTGACATTCATATTAAAAATAAGGGAGATAATTATTGCCAAAAGGAAAGTGTTCACTAAAATAAATATATTTGACGTCTGCGGAAAGAAAGCTAATCATCTATTGAAACTAATCGACGATAGTGAAAAAAAAAAAGTAGCCGTCATATCCAAATTTATAGCATAAAAGTCCAAAGTTAGTAATAAAATCATAAAGACAAACTTTAAGTTTTTTTTAAATAATATTGTTTCTGCTAGGGACACAAAAATATTAGTGAAGCCTAATGAAAATTTAAAAGGTGATGAAGTTTATACATCAAATGTGGTGTATAAAGAAGTGTTGCACGATTAATAATATATAATTAGTCATGTGTTATTACAAATTTTCATATTTTGTTTATTCTTATAATTCTTTATTTTTGTTTGAACGGCTTAAACATTTCATATTTTATGTCGTCTTAACCAGTTTGTTTTTATCGGTTATTTGATGTATCATGTAACAAATAACACCATAATTTGATTATTTTGTCTTCAACATGTACTTTCTTTTGTAACATAATATTTTTGTAGAGGAAACATATCACCAAAAGAATTTACACGTCCCGCCGCTTTGCGCGGGTACACTGCTAGTATATATATATATATATATATATATATATAATATATATATATATATATATATATATATATAAAAGAACTATTATTTTTAAATAAATACAAATTTAAAATGTAATTCATATTTAGATATGATTATAAAAATGATTATTAATTTTTATTAGAAAACAATTTATACACGGATTACTAATCCACTGTAGTTTGTTTTATTCCATAGGAACGAGGAATCTGAATAAGCCTCCGAATCACCACAGGAACAATGCGTTCATTCCAGCAACAACTAAGGTGTTGTTTGTTTTTCTAAAAAAACTCTTCAAACCACTTATTGCTGCGCGGCGCAGCACACGCGCAACACTTTCCCTCTCGCAGCAGTTTGTTTTTTGGAAGACTTCAGACTACAAAACCTCTGCGCGTGTGCTGCGTGGCGCAGCACTTGACTTGCCTCTTCTAACCTCTTCAGCTTTCATTTTTTCTAAGTGTTTTTTTAAGAATTTTTGTATAACTTTTTTTTTTAATTTTCTTTTTTTTTTAAACTTTGATTTTCTTAAATTTTTATTTACGGATGTGATACAATTTATTTTTATAATTTCCACGATTTTTTTAATTTGTTTTTTTTTTTTACCGTTTTATTAATAATATTTTCAATTTCAGTTATATTTTTTTTAATGTGTGTAATTTTTTACGAACTTTGTAGACAACGTTTGCAATACTTTCTTAAATTTTTTATTATTTTCTTTTTTAATGCTTTTTTTAAATTAGTCTTTTTTCTAGAATAAAACTATTAGCTTCTTTTACATTTTTTAATATTTTTTTTAAAAAAAAAGTTTTATATTTTTGTTTTTTACATGTTATTGTTATTATTATTTCAATGTTTTAAGACTAGAATTATTAAATTTCAATGTTGAGAATTATTTCAGTTTATAAAATTAGTTTATTTAAATTTTAGTTTACCGCAGCAGTCTGTAGATGTTAAAAAACAAACATGCTTCTTATTATAGGCTGCAGCCGTTTGTTCCACCTCTTCTGCTACAGAGGATTGCAGATGTGGTCTGCAGACTTTATGAATTTTCGCTTCGAAAAAACAAACAGCACCTAAGATTGTTTGTATCATATAAGCTTACTCCATCTGATAATTAAACATGATTAAAATTTAAAACATAATTAATTAATAAGAGATTATATAATTATATCAAGACTTTTAATTAATTTCAAATATACTATACTCAGTTTCTTACGTTCAAATGGAATATATCAATATATGAATCATATAGCAACTTATATGAAGCCCAACAAATGCTATATTTCGGCCGAAAAGCGAAACCCGGTATGGGACCCAGAACCGGCATATCCGGAACCCGGACCGTCACACCCTAAAACGGTCATGTTTTCGGTCAAGGATATTCAAGAATTTTGGGTTTCGGGTTTTCGGTCTTCGGGCCAGTTCGGTCCGGGTATTATACTATAAAAATATTTTTTACTTTATATACTCCCTCTATCCCAAAATTATTGTCCATGTTTGACTTTTGAAGTCTTATCATACAAACTTTGACCATAAATAACTTTATATGTATTATATAAT